TAATAATAATAATAAAGTTGGAAGGGACTTTGGAGGTCATCGAGTCCAACCCCCTGCTCAGGCAGGAACCCTACACCATTTCAGACAAATGGCTGTCCAGTCTCTTCTTAAAAACTTCCAGTGTTGGAGCATTCACCGCTTCTGGAGGCAGGTTGTTCCACTGGTTAATTGTTCTAACTGTCAGGAAGTTTCTCCTTAGATCTAGGTTGCTTTGGTTAGTTTCCATCCGTTGCTTCTTGTCCTGCCTTCAGGCGCTTTGGAGAATAGCTTGACTCCCTCTTCTTTGTGGCAGCCCCTGAGATATTGGAACACTGCTATCATGTCCCCCCTCGTCCTTCTCTTCATTAAACTAGACATACCCAATTCTAGCAACCATTATTGCATGGTGATCAAAGAGAAACAGACGGTCTTCTGAAGTTCATGCTGCAAGGAGAACTGAAGGCCCACTACAAAGGTCATTGATGCAAAGAGATTCATGTGAATGATGATGATGATGAGTGGCCTTTTAAAAGGTAAAGGAAAGAAAGAAACAAAAGAAACCAGTGCTATTTCTAAATAGTAGCAGCAGCATCTAATCTGCTAAAAAATGCTGAGGAGGTTCCTCATCTGAGGGCAGTGATGGCGAACCATTTGGGCTTGGCATATCAAAAATTCAAAAGAAGCGCCTACCTAGATTCTGCTGGCATGTCGCACACAAACACACATGGATGGACAAAAGAGAAAAAATAACAAAGAGAAATGAATTATACAAATTTAATATTTAATAATTAAATACATAATTGTAAATGCTTTTTTGAAATTCCTATCTGAGGCAGCTCAGGATTGCGGGCAACCTGGAAACTGGAAAAGGCTCTTGCATGTCCTTGTAGCCTTTAAAAAGAGCAGGAAAGCACGCCCTGTTCTCACGTGATTTTGAGAGGCTCCAGAAGGTATGTGAGAACAGAGTCCTCTTGTGCAACTTTCAGAGGGAGGCCTGACATGTCACCAAAAATGACAGGCAGTGTTGCCTGTGACACACATGTCATAGGATCACCATCCCTGTCCTAGGACAACCAGGTACGGATTTTAAATATTTAACCATATGATGTCAGCAAATAGGTGAAGAAACCCTTTAACTCTTTGCTGTCATCTAGTGGTCTGGATTTTAAGCAGTGTTACTTCAAAACAGAATAACATAATTGGAAAGGACCTTGGCCTATAGCAGTGGTGGCGAACCTATGGCACGCGTGCCAGAGGCGGCACTCAGAGCCCTCTCTGTGGGCACACATGCCGCCGCTGCCAGCAACTTGCGCAGGTCCATTAGGCCACCACCGCTGCCCGGAGCGGCAGCCCCACCCAGCACAAAGGCGGCAAAGCAGCCAGCTTTGCCTAGCAAGCTCAAGTAGAGGTGGTAGAGCATGCCCACACCCAGCAAGCCAAAGGCCACCCTGAGCAGGGAAAGCCAGATCCCCATCATTGCCATGGCCCCCCAGTCCCAGCTAGGATTGTGTGCCTCCCCCCATCTATGCTGGACCTCCTACCTACCGCCCCACCCACCAGAGACCCCCTGGATCTCCTTCAACCTTGCCCGGCCCCCACAGGCATCCCCCCCATGAGCAACATCAAGGCCATGCCCACCCCAGACACACACCCCCAGTCTGCCGTGACAACCGCAGCCACGCCCACCCAGTGGGCTACGCCCCCATGCCACCCGAGGCCACAATGCTGATGTGGCCCTGGTACTTTGCGATAAATAAGTGGGTTTTGGGTTGTGGTTTGGGCACTCGGTCTCTAAAAGGTTCGCCATCACTGGCCTATAACATTTCAGATAAATGGCTGTCCAATGTCTTCTTTAAAAACCTCTAGTGATGGAGCACTCACAACTTCTGGAGTCAAGGCAGAAGTTCATTCACTGTAGATTTTGTTACCTAATATGCTATTGATTTTGCAGTTGGGTTGCATGCTGGATGTGTAGATGTTGACCAGTGCATTTGTATGTGGCTGTAGCTTTCTGGACATGATTATTTCCTTACCTTTGGAGAGATTTGATGTAGTATGGGTTCATGCACAAATCAATCTGACTACTGAAGATATCAGTGGTCATGGTTGTAATTGAAAATTTTCATATAATATGAAATTCTCCTGTCACTGGATAAGCATTAACAACTCTCAGGTTCTACTCAGGTCATAAAATTTCTCCAGATATTTTAGGAGATTTTCTGCTGAAGAGGAGAAGAGCACAATTTTAATGCTTGTTTTGCTTAATCCTGATATGGATTACAGAGAAGAATCCCATAAACCTCTTTTCCATGGATATAATGGGCCCCAAGGTTTGTCTCTAGGTGAACTTTGGGCTGTTTTTTTGGTCTATCTCCTTTTTTTCTGTGCTTTAATTCTGGAGGCTGATGAGGAAGGAAATGGGTTTAAATAATTGATCTTGCATCAATAACAACAGGTCAGAAATGAGTTATAAAACAGGGGAAAACTAGGGATATGAACCTCTACCACAAAACCTCTATTATATTTGGCTCTTCCTTATTTCTGTCCAGCTCAAGGAGTGTGAGTACTCTCCCAAACAATAAACTGCTCTTTTCTTAAGGAGGCAACTATTATCTCAGATTTGGTTTCTTTGAAGTCTCTTCTTTGGTAGAGAAGAAATAAAGAAATTTAGGGGAAAGGTTGAAAAATGAAAATATTTGACTTATAATTAAGTAGAAATTTCTTTCTTACTTAATTTCCTTTTCCTGCCCCGATGCTTTCCTCTTCTGAGACATATGTGATTTAGATATGATATGTACTGGCTGGAGATCAGACATCTTCTCAGCAAAGATATATATTTTAGTAAGCATCTGACATTGCTTTCCAATGGGGACAGATGCTCAACAGTTCGGCAGAGTCAGCAGGATGATGTCAAACTTGGGTAGACTGTCTGGATTTTCTATGGTATTAAGGGATCTTGTTTACAAGTGTGACTTCATCAGTAAGTGACCTTTTTAACCAGCTTGCTCTTCCATTGTGCATTTGTGTGCAGCTGAACTCATGACCAAACCAGCTGCTGCCTCCTGTATCTAATTACTTCCAGACAGCCAAAAAGTCATCTTCAAAACTGAATTCTTAAGCTCAATAATAGGTGTTTGGAATTGCAGTTGAAAAAAAACTAGTCAGACAAACTGAACCACCTCTAGCTGTTCCTAAGGAACCAGCCTATCCTGCTTTGCTGTTAAAACTGAGCTCATGTATATATAGAACAGTAAAGCATAGAGCCAAATACTTGCCTCTTTAGGACTTTTGTGACTGACTCTTGTTAAATAAGAATAAAATGGTGGGCATCTTTTTTCTAGCTCCAGGCTTGATTTTTCCTTGTGACATTTCCAGAGGTGAGGATTTAGACTCTAAACTCAAGAAATACTGTAAAGTTGAAAACTACAACTACAAGATGTCATGAGACTTCAAACTGATGCATATTTTATTTGCTAGGGGATCTCCAGCAAATTGCATGATAAAAACTTACCCAATTTGCTGATTTTTTTTTTTTTTTTGAGTAGTTGAATTGCAAATAGTGTCCCCTTTTGGACCTGAAACCAAATATTATTTTGCTCTATAGCAAACTGCTATTTGACAAAAATAACTCCAGAGCCTCTGCAGATTCACATAACTTATTTATATATAATTTTTTTGTATTCTAGTCAGCGATGGTAATTTCCTCACTGTAGAAAGAGAAAGAACAAGATCTGGGTGTCTTTCTTAAAGGCAAGCAGTATGATCCAGCTACTGAGAAGATGATTATTATCTTGGAGTACATTAACAAGAACATAAAGTCTGGGTCACGAAAAGTAATTCTTCCCAGCTCTTATTCTCTGTTGAGTTCTCCGTATCCAGTTCTGGGCACCACAGTTCCCAAAGGACAATAACAGAATGGGACAAGTTCAGAAGAGCGCGATCAAGCTGGTGAAGGGTCTGGAAAAACCAAACCCTATGACGAATGGTTTAAAAAATCTGACTATATTTAGTCTACAAAAAAGAGGAGACATATGATAGCAGTTTTCAAATATTTGGAAGGCTGTCATGTAGAAAAAGAAGTGAAATTCCTCTCTGTTGCCTCAGAGAGCAGGATCAGAATCAGTGGGTTAAAAGGGAAGGTTGTTTAGTTAGGTACTAGGAGGGACTTTGGGACTGCATGAACTGTCAACCGGTGGAACAAGCTGCCACATTATGTGATGAGTTCTTCTTTACCAGAGATCTTCAAAAAGCCATCGGATGATTGTATGTCAGAAATACTGAGGTTGAGAAATACTACTCTAGAAGATCCTGCACTGGGCATGGAGTTTATTCATATATACAACTTGTAGCCTTTCCAATTCCTAGCAATTTTAGGTTGCTTACACCTAAAACTAAAAAAACCAAAAGACAAAGAATCATGAGCAGCCTCAGAAGGAAAATATAACCAAATAAAATCATCCAGCAGAGGCTCAACCTTCTTGCTGCTTCAAAACATGGGAGAAGAGCCAGGCCTTTAATAATTTCCTGTATGTCATGAGGATTGGAGTGATCTGAATCTCTGGAGGGATGTAATTCTAGAGTGTAAGAGCCGCAACAAAGGAATTGAATTAGGTGACTTCTATGATCTTCCAACTGTTATGAATCTGGGCACCCATCCATTGGAATTTGCTGGAGATCTTTGTGTTTTTGTTTCTGTAGCTATTAGGAAAGCGATTTTCACTGTTGTGTACGTAGCCAGGTGTTCAACTTGAAGCTTAATTTCAGTGAAGTGGTGTGATTCTTTTTATAAGACTTGCTTTTAGACTTCCTGCTGGTCGATTTTTTTTTTTTTTTTTTTTTGGAAACACAAATATTTTTCTCACTTAAAAGAATAAAAAACCAAACAGACCCATTTTGTAAAACTAATTGGGAAGCTAGTGAATGAAAAGTCAAGCAATTTCCTATGAGAAGTGTTAACACTTTTATGGTTGCCAGCTGTTTCCAAGTTCTATTACTTCATAAAACTCTCCAGGATATTAACGGCAAAAGCTGAGATGCAAAACACCATATGCAGCTCACACTTTTTGTGGAATGAAACGGGAGTTTGGCTTTTCTTCAGAAAGGCTCCTCTCCAGGGTGGTCAATATATACTACAAGATATCTGGCAGATATCCAGAAGTAATCTCCTGCCATGTGTGCATTTTATCTGTGTGAAGGGATTGGATCCACAGGCATTACTCTCTTGGGGGTCCAAACTGCCTACACATGACATATGTAACTTCTGTGATTGAAAGTTGAGTTGGAGCCAAAAGTCAGAAGGGTTGGACTACAATTTTGCCCTTCTTTTCCATTTGTCTTCCTCCTCAGCTCAAATCCTTCATGATGTACAGGGAGTCCTTGACATATGACTGCAGTTGGAATTGGAATTAAGTGATGTCATTAAATGAATTGTCATGTGATCAGACCCGATTTTTATGACCATGTTTACTGTGCTCGTTATGTGAATCAGATGGTCATTAAAGAAATCCAGCTGCCCCAATTGACTTTGCTTGTCAAAAGCTGTCTGGGAAGGTTGCAAGTCATGACCCCAGTGGCTGTAGGCCATTGCAACTGATCTTAAATGAATCCCCCAAATCACAATTGTGACCACAGGAGAGGTACAACGGTCATAATATCGAGGACAGGTTGAAAATAACTTCTTTCAGTGCTGTTGTAACTCCAGAATCATCGTTAAATGAATGTTCTTAAGTTGAAGACTACATGTATTGATTATTTTCTGTGTATCTGGTTCTGAGGGACCAGTTGGATATATATCATTGTACAGCATAATGCTATCTGCAACTTGGCAGTATTCTTGTTCTCATTCAGTGATTCATTGGACCTGAAAAGATTAGTATTAGCAAGGGGTCTTCAAACGTGGCCCTTTTATGACTTGTGGACTTCAACTCCCAGAATTCCTCAGCCAGGCACGCTGGCTGAGGAATTCTGGGAGTTGAAGTCCACAAGCCATAAAAGGGCCAAGTTTGAAGACCCCTGGCATTAGCACATAGTGAAAAAGCAAGGCTGAAAGAAACATTCTTCTTAACCTTCCCCTTCAGTTTTTGGCTTTACCTTTTCAAGGAGAGCATGGGCTTCCCAAGCAGATTCAAAAGAACATGGGAAAATGATGGCCTAGCATCCAGGCAGATTCCCTCCCACCGTATCATTATCCAAAATGACAGCAGAAAAGAAGAGCCAAAACAGTGGCACGTCCAAGGGAAAGGGAAGAGGGAGCTAGTACAGGGGAGCACAAGCAGTACCATCTGCCTGGGCAGCAGGGTGTGATCCCCAGTAGATTTAACTCAAGAGAAAGACTCTGTGCCTCTCTGAAGGGATCTCTGCATCATTCTCCATATCCCTTCTGATCCAGCAAAAGTAGCAAAGATTATTGTCTCCCCAATCCTACACTGTCCTTGAAGGAGATGGGTAGTCTAGAAACATGAAAAATTAATTAATTAATGTTGTATTTACTGCCAAAGAAAATTATGGAAAGGTCGAGCCCTGCATTCATAAATAATATGGTGGCTGATCCTGCAAAGACCCAGGTGAGAGGAGAGCTGAAAGCAACTGGAGCCAGAATAACTCAGTGGAACTGAGTCAGTTCATTACACCTCAAAGGGTGTTTAATTGAGGAGTTCTTAATCTTCATAGGTCATCACTATGGAACAGCTTGCCTCCAGAAATCGTGGGCACTCCATCGCTGGAGATTTTAAAGAAGAGTCTAGAGTCTAGACAGTCACTTGTCTGAGATGATATAGGGCCTCCTGCTTGAGCAGTGTGCTGGACTGGATACTGGGGTCCTCAACTTTGGCAACTTTGAAGTTCACAAGTATTCAAGTTGCCAAGGTTGGGGACCCCTGGACTAGAAGACCTCCAAGGTCCCTTCCAGCTCTATTCTATTCTATTTCATCACCATTTTCCTGTTGTTCAAGTCCAGCAGTTGTATGAAGAAGAGGGAGAAAATACCTTGTCAACATTTCTGGCAATCACCCAAAATATTATATTTCTTGAAGCAGCCCTAGAACCTATGTCAAAGATAATTGAAGAACTGGCTTAAGGATCAAGGACATGGATATGTATTCCATTCTGATATCAGATTTGTAAATATGAATTTTAGGGATGAGTTAGACATTACTAAAATGAAAGATATTAATTAATTATATGTTAATACATCATACTGAGCGTATCCAAAAATATTTTGCAGATCCAGGGGTGCAAATAAATTAAACTCTATGATAACATGTATTTAATCAGTGGCAGAGGATTTTTACAGGCGTTTCATTTTGTATTATTGCTCTGGTCAAGAATCAGTTAATGAAGGTGCCCTGTAGCTTTTGTGGAATTACAGCTCCTGTCTTGTTGGACCTTTGACTATGCAAATTGTGGCTGCTGGAAGCTCCAGGCCAGAGCAACTGAAGGGACTGGGTTTGGCATGAACTTGAAATTTATTGTGGCTACACATGCTACTTTCCTCTTTCAAGTCAGTTGAGTGTGGTGGGGTATTCTAAGGGGCAGCATGGTTTCCCCAAGCTTTGATTGAAACGTTCCTTTGAAGAGGTGTCCTAGATTGCAATGTCACTTTCCTTTGAAGTGCTGACCCAAGTGGTCCTAAGTAATTTGATCTGGAGGTGAAGAAAGAAACTTTCTGTGCATGTTCGGCGACCTTTCTCCAATATCCAGATTGAACCATCCCATCTTTGCTTGGGAGACGGCTTACTGGTGGGGCAGTCTGGATCAAGGTAGTGCAAGATCCACTCAGCAGAAGACATAGTCAGGCAATTCCCTTGTCAGAGCTGAAAAAGACAACACTTGTCTAGACCAGCATTTCCCACCCTCAGCAACTCCCAGAACTCTAGACTGAATGAAACAAGTAGCTCGTTTATCACAGTAGGGCAGTGGTTCTCAACCTGTGGGTCGGGACCCCATTTGGGGTCGATCGACCATTTCATGGGGGTCGCCAAGCAAGGCTTTCCGCCATTTTTTTGTCCACCATTTTTTTGTCCGCCATTTTTTCCCCCCCTTTTTCGGCGGGTGCCTTACCTCCCTTGGGCTGGGCCAGCTGGTGGTCGGCCTGCTCTGTCTCTGCCGCTTGCCAGCTACACCTCGGCCGGCGTGGGGGGCGGAACCATGCATGCGTGGCGCTCCCGGGCAGGGAAAGTCCTCAACTTACGACCGGTTGGGTAGTCCTCGACTTACGACCGGTTTAGTCCTCGACTTACGACCGGTTTAGTCCTCGACTTACGACCGGTTTAGTCCTCGACTTACAACCGGTTGGGGTCGTGGCATTAAAAAGGTTGAGAACCACTGCAGTAGGGAGATGTTTCTTTAGAGTGGACAATGTTCTTTTTAAAAACCTTGCTTCATAATCTGAGTATTTTTGCACCTGTCTCTTCTTTTGATGTGCCATCAAAAGCAATTAATATTCAGCAGCATACAAAGAGGATCTTATTTATTTTGGTCGGCCTGTGCTGCTGAATGTTTTTAAGGCCACTTTTTTTTTTATCAGATCTCATGCATTCCTCATATTTTTCCTGAACAGAAAATCCTAGGAATGAAATAGCTTTCAAAAGAGAATAGGAGAGATATAAATTAAGCTGCATTTATACATAACTATTTAATTCACACCTTTATTATTAAGTTAAATTTATTTTGTGTTACGAAGAATTGTGAAAAAGTGTAGAGTTAATTTGCTTCGGAAATCATCTAGCCCTAACCTCTTCACAATTTTATGTATGTATTTCCTTCAACTATGAGTTGTATTTAATGGATTTTTGAGGCATTTATTACTATGGTCTTTTTTATTTATATCTGCTGTTATCATACTCTTGATTTTTGTCTATTGTGCGCTACCCAGAGTTACCTTGAGTGAGATGGGCTTCTATATAAATTTGATAAATAAACAAACATATAAATGTTAAGTTAAGTTTTCCTAACTGATTCAGGTCCTGTCTACCAGGACAACAGCAAACAAATCCTTTACAAGAATTTACAGAGACAATTATATATTTTCCCAGTCATCGCTTCTGTAAGCTAAACATATCGGGTTCTTTTCACTATTCTTCGTTGCTTGGTTTCCAGTTCCTTTACATCTTGATAGCCCTTCTCTGAACTTGCTCCAGTTTGTTCACATCTTTTTACATTCATGTCTTAGCCACTTCCATTTAATGGTTAATTCTGCCTGCACTCATAGTTGGCATTAATTCATTCTGTAGCTAATTCAAGACTGATTACAGAAAGCTCAGTTTTTAATTATTTCTTGTTTTTTTACTGCTCTCCAGGTGAACATTATTCCCATCATTGCCAAAGCTGATACTATTTCCAAGAGTGAATTGCACAAGTTTAAGATAAAGATAATGAGCGAACTGGTCAGTAATGGAGTTCAGATTTATCAGTTCCCTATTGATGATGATGCTGTATCTGAGATTAATTCTGTGATGAATGTAAGTAGCACAGTTTCTTCTGCAGACTTCTTATGTTTCTGTATTTATAGCAGTGACGCTGAGAAACTGTATAATGAATGCCATTATAATAGCGTTTATTCCTTCCATTTTTTAAACCAAACCAACCCAATGATTTGGTGTGGAATATAATCCTCCTCCCTTGATACATTTCACATTCAATGTATGTTTAGAATGGAATCTGGATTTGTTATGCAGTCTGGAAAGTCAATATGTGGTCCTTCTTTACATTCGTGGATAAATTTTAGATTGAGAATATTGAAATAATTTTGACATATATTGTGTTAAAGCAAAACATCAGTCAGATTGATGAACATAACTACTCTATTTCAGAGAAGGGAAGAGGAGGGAAAAGAAAAATGATATTGTATCTGCCATCTAAGGGAGCAAAATATTTCTACTTCTTTTTTAATTTGTTATTACATCTATATCTTGTCTTTGCTTTGCACAACTCAAGACATCATACATAATGCTCCCACCATCTATTTCTCCTCAGTAACAATCCTGTGAAGTGGTTTATGCTAGAAGTCATGGTCTCCCGATTTCTAATCCACTTTAGCTTTTATGTCAAATTGACTCCCCCCACCCTGTTTATTAATCTATTACATTAAATCCCACTTAGCTTGGAATTCAAATTTCTTGCAATAATCCCATGAGGAGTAAATTGTGCTGAGAGAAAAGAAATGCAACACAAAAGTAAATTCAAATAAATGAGATAACACAAGCATAAAAAAAGATAAAATACCAAATAAAAATGTGTTGTACTATACAGTACTGTAATTACCTCTGCAAGTGTAAATATATATTATTTAAAACAAGATAGCTAACATGTTAAACTTGATGTGATTAATAAAACAGAGGTGGTTACTTCTGTGAGCAGGTGTATCTTATTTTCATCATTGCAGTACAGAATTTGGTATTGCGCAAGTGATAAAGGGTTTCGAATTTTCTAGAACAGACATGTCAAACACAAGGCCCGGGGGCCGGATGTGGCCCACGACGTGGTTTCATGTGGCCTGCGAAGCCATCCTGGAAACAGTGAGGGAATGGCCCCCACTGCCTTGGCCCTGGCCCAGGCCAGCCAGGAGCCAATGTACAATTTTGTGGTGGCCATCTATGCTGAAATGCATTCAGTCTTAGCTCCACAAGGCCGTCTGGAAACAGCAAGGGACCGGCCCCTGCTATGTCGGCCCCGCCCCCTGGGTGCATGCTGGGGAGGTGTCACCCTTTGTGAGGAATGAAGAAATGCACCATCGCCTGGAAGTGGCTAGCAAATGGCCCTCGCCTACTTCACATATCTGGCTTGATGGGCTCTGGGGGAGGGGTTTCAGCAGGGTCTTCCAGTGGACTATGCCTTGGCGCTTGCCCTGGTCCCACCCCCTTCTGCCAGAGACCCTCAGATTTGTCCCACTCCTGCCCAGGCCCCCACAGGCACCCTTGGCGAGAATGATGTAGAGCTGGCCATGCCCACCCAGTAGGCCACCCCCACTCCAGCCACGCCCACCCAGTAGGCCACACCCACCCTGGCCACACCTATCCCCCCCCAAGGACAACCGCAATGCTGATGCGGCCCTCAATGAAATTGAGTTTGACACCCCTGTTCTAGAAAATGGTTCACATAGAAATTGTCTGGCCTTCCTAGAAATGTATATATTAGGGGAAGATATACTAAGATATACTAGTATTCCCTATAGAAATTACCTTGTAGAAATGAGAAAATGATTGGCCCTAGCTTAATCTGACAACATGCTATGTGGCAGAAAAATCTCCTGGCTATTCTGCTACTTTAGCCATTCCTGCAAGTAACTAGAATAGCAAACTCTTGTTTAGTATACCATAATGATTTGTAAAAACAAAAGGGTTTGTTCTGTTTGGCTCATTCTTCTATCCATGATTGCTCAAAATAAACTTCTGTGTGTGAATACAGTATGCAGTAAGTAAAGATTGCCAGAAATATTATTCACAAAACTGGAGGATTTAAAAATTCCATATGTGATTTTATTGCAAATTCAACAATAGTCTTTTTTTATGGGCTGCAGAGTGATATTTCTTCAAAAATTAGGACTTGTTTTGTTTGTCCTGGCAATCCTGTCTTAACATCATGCTGATTCCATAGACATAAAAAAAATATCGTTTTGTATTAGGAAATTTGCTTTAAAAGTAAAAAAAAACACTTATTGACAGTTCTATTGTTTTGCCCTGAATTGCATAGTTATGTTTTTCCTCAAAGGCTCATCTACCATTTGCTGTTGTGGGAAGCACAGAAGAAGTAAAAGTGGGAAATAAAATGGTGAGAGCTCGGCAGTATCCATGGGGTGTTGTTCAAGGTAGGTTGTAATTCCAGGCATGTTTAATAGTGGCTGAAATCCTTGCATGCTGCAGCTTGCTAAAGAATATTTATTGCTGCTGTTGTTCTTGTGGTTGATTACACAGTGAGCCCGACGTGGATTTGACATTTTTATTCACCTGTCAATTGTTATCATATTTTTATCAACCATTTTTTAATCTATTTTGGCTAACTCATATGTATGTGTACGTTTGTGAGTATTATATTTGAATAAAAGAATAGATATTAAAAGGAATAGGCTTATCAAAACATAATTTTGGGATGCTGGTGAGTGTCATGGTCGTGAAACAATCATTCAGAAAGATCACTTCACTAGCACTTTTGTTGTTGCTGCTGATGTTTCCTTAAGTGTTATTTTTATAAATTGGATTTGGCTCTGCATACATTTTAATATTTAATAGATTATTTATTCTCTTGCCACTGTTTCTATTACACTTTCATTTTGCCATTACAAGCTTTGATTGTTTAACTATCCTAAACTTTTTTATTTATTTGAGTTTTATCCTACCTTCATTACTTTTTAAGTAACTCAAGCTGGTGAAGATATCTAGTGCTTCTTCCTCCTATTTTCCCCACAACAACAACCGCTGTGTGGTAGGTTGGTCTGACAAAGAATGACTGGTACAAAGTCACCCAGTTGGTTTTCATGCCTGAGGCGAGACTAGAACTCACAATCTCTTGGTTTCTAGGTCACCACATTAACCGGTGTACCAAACTAGTATCTGTGGAAAGGCATACAAATGTTTGAACACATTAAGTAAAAAGAGGAAAAGGGTGTAATAGTTTAATAACACTGATACACGATTTGATTTATTATTATTATTTATTATTTATTGAATTTATATACCGCCCTATCTCCCTTACGGGACTCAGGGCGGTGAACAGGCGATAATAAAAACCACGATAAATATACGCAAGTTTCTGTTCTAAAATCAAATTAAATAACAGGCCTGCTCTAAAAATATCCCATACAAAACCCCCACTAAAACATAATCAAACTACGCCAGGCCAGCCGCACGGAATAGATGGGCCTTCAGGGCTCGGCGAAAAAGGCACAGGTCCGCAACTGTATGTAGGTCGGGGGGTAGGTCATTCCAGAGGGCAGGAGCTGCCACAGAGAAGGCTCTCCCCCTGGGGGTCGCCAGCCGGCATTGTCTGGCCGACGGCACCCTAAGGAGGCCCTCTCTGTGGGAGCGGACTGGTCGAAGGGAGGTGTTTGGTAGGAGGCGGTCTTGCAAATACCTAGGTCCATTGCCATGGTGCGCTTTAAAGGTTGTTACTAACACCTTGAAGTGCACCCAGAAGGCCACAGGCAGCCAGTGCAGCTCGCGCAGGAGAGGTGTTACATGGGAGTATCTAGAGGCCCCCAGGATCCCCCGCGCGGCCGCATTCTGAACTAGCTGGAGCCTCCAGGTGCACCTCAAGGGGAGCCCCATGTAGAGAGCATATAGTCCAGGCGGGAAACAACGAGGGCTTGAGTGACCGTGCGTAGAGCATCACGATCCAGAAAGGGGCGCAACTGGCGTATCAGGCGAACCTGATGAAAAGCCCCCCTGGCCACGGCTGTCATATGGTCGTCTAAAGACAGCCGAGTATCCAGGAGGACGCCCAGGTTGCGGGCCCTCTCCGCCGGGGCTAATGACTCGCCCCCGATAGCCAGGGATGGAACCAACTGGCTATGTCGTGACGCCGGAAACCACAGCCACTCGGTCTTGGACGGGTTGAGTCGAAGCCTGTTCCTCCGCATCCAGACTCGCACGGCCTCCAGGCACCGGGACATCACTTCCGCGGCATCATTGTAATTGGCTTTGTAATTGTATTTGTAATTGGCTTTGAAAAGTAGCTTCCAGTATCCTATGAATAATAAGATAGATAAGATAACCTTTATTGTCATTTTTTTTACTGTGGGCACAACGGCACACATCAAAAATGAAATTTAGTTGCCCGCTCTCAAAGTGAAACCCATACAGGACACACACCTAAAACATACTATGTACAACATATGTATAGACCCACACCCCTACATATACGTAGCAAATAAATATTAAATACTGTCCATCTTGAATATATAACGGAAGGAGGAAGCTTGAGAGTTCACAAGGTTAATGCTGTATGGAATGAAACTATGGCTGAATCTGGATACGATTTCAAAAATGATTTGGAGCAAATGCTGAATAAATAAATCCGTCTCTGCTACTCAGCAAAGCAGAGATGTCATGTTTCAGGCTTCCACATGACTGCTTTAACGATTCAGAGAGAGTTGCCTTGTTGGTGTTCCCACACATTGCAAAGCACCTCTTTCAACACCGCTGCAAGGGAGTGAGCCCTTTTGAAGTGGGGGTGATGAATTTCTGAGCCAAATATACACCGGAGTCTGCAGTCTATCATCATTCCTAATTTCCCTATTCCGACACATTTAGAGGATGCTGTTTTTATACAAATGCTGCATTAATCCTGAAAGAGGAGTGTGTGTGTATGTGTGTGTGTGTGTGTGTGTTCACACACGTGCGCATGTGCAGATGCTTACCTCTGTGTGAATCAGTCATTTTCTCCAATGTGTTTTCACATCTGCACTTTGTTTTAAATTAGTTGAAAATGAAAGCCACTGTGACTTTATGAAACTGCGGGAAATGCTGATCCGGATCAATATGGAAGACTTGCGGGAGCAAACTCATGCTCGCCATTATGAGCTTTATAGACGGTGTAAGCTAGAAGAAATGGGTTTTAAGGACACAGATCCTGACAGCCAGCCATTCAGGTAAGAAGGCCTTACCCTTCTTTTTTCCTTGTTTCCCATTAATATCCTGCAACGAGCGGTGAAAACTGGATGTTCTTTTGGGGTCTGTAGGGGTTTTACTCTCAGAGTGGCGTTGACATGCTCTCTCTTCATGTTTTCTCTCCGCTGGTGTTCTCCCCTTTCTGACACATGCACATTTTTCAAGGGGGGGGGCGGTATAAAAGGATGCATTTTCAGATGTGTGTGACCTGGAATAGTATCTTACACCTTTCTTTTAATGTCTGGACAATTTGGAACTTGTGTTTTCCACCAGCCTTCAAGAAACGTATGAGACCAAAAGAAAAGAGTTCCTTTGCGAATTGCAAAAAAAAGAGGAGGAAATGAGACAAATGTTTGTGAACAAGGTCAAGGAGACGGAGTCTGAACTGAAAGAAAAGGAGAGAGAAGTGAGTATGGCAGAGACAATGACTCTACGAGACAAATTGCTACCTTAGCTAGGACTGAGATTTTCTTTTTGTTTTGCCTGCACTGATCAAATGCTCTAAAAAGGGAATCTCCAGATCCTTCTATATTAAACAGGTTAAACTGGCCTAATATTCTCTTTCCCCTGGTAGATCATTAAATCCCTCTGGAAATTTAGTATTAGGACACAAAACACTTATATATGCAAGCGTGGGTCTGCATATGTTTATAAGCCAATGCTTGTACGAAGATGTTGGTTATTTGTTTATTAAATTTGTTTGCCACCCATCTCACTGTGGATGTTAAAGGGAGCCCTGCCATTTCTTTAACTTATTTGATTTTGTTTTGTTTCAACAATGTGGAACTATGTAAGACGTAAAAGTCGGAAGACTAATTTCCCCGGGAGAAGGGTAACATAATTGTTATGTTTTAAAATGCCCCAAATTGATGGTATCATAGAGGGTTGTTACTTCCCATGAACCTGCTTATTTTACAGTAACTTTTTGTTTCCTCTACATCAATCAAACATGATGTACTTTAGCAGTATAAAAAACTGCTATAAACCTGATCACACTACAGAATGCTTACATACATTCTCAAAGAAATAATCCCTCTAATTAAGAATAAGGGAGTGTATAATTGCAGAAAAATGACATTTTAAGGAAGGATTACCTTGAATTGTAAAAGGAATTTTGTACAGAAGATGTGGAACCCTCTATTTTGAGTTGTCATGAAGTTTCCATAAAGGGGCTTTAAGCATATAAATCTGAGCCCAAAGGCAATACCCATGATGCATTTATCTTGCCTGAAAAAGAGAACAACAAAGTTGGAAGGGACCTTGGAGGTCTTCTAGTCCAACCCCCTGCTCAAGCAGGAGACCCTATACCATTCCAGACAAGTGGCTGTCCAAAAGCCTCCAATGATGGAGCACTTCTGAAGACAAGCTGTTCCACCGATTAATTGTTCTCATTGTTAGGAAATTTCTCCTTAATTCTAGGTTGCTTCTCTCCATGGTTAGTTTCCATCCATTGCTTCTTCTCCTGCCTGCTGGTGCTTTGGAAAATAGGATAACCCCTTCTTCATGAGAGCCCCTCAGATATTGGAACACTGCTATCATGTCACCCCTAGTCCTCCTTTTCAGTAGACTAGACAAATCCAATTTCTGCCACCACTCTTCATATGTTTTAGCCTCCAGCCCCCTAATCATCTTTGGTGTTCTTCTCTGCACTCTTTCTAGAGTCTCTACATCTTTTTTATAATATGGTGACCAAAACTGGATGCAGTATTCTAAGTGTGATCTTACTAAGACTTCATAAAGCAGTACTAATATTTCACATACTCTATTAATGCAGCCTAGGATTAGCATAGAATCATGCAAGTTTTAAGAGCTAAAATGGGCACTTGTGTCCAGGGGCTGTACTGTTAATTTTCTTTGGCCCATAAGCCAAAGTAATACTATTCATAAATAGTAATGTGGTGGTGGTGGAGATGGTGTTGGAGGAGGAGGAGGAGGAGGAGGAGGAAGAAGAGTCAGAAACACTTTTTTCGCCCAATTTGTGAGGTTGGAGGATTTTTATGGGAGAAAGCTTAAGAATCCTTAGGGTTAAATAGGAACCCTGTTAAATGTTTGTAAATTTGCTATGTAACTGAAACATCCTACATGACTACAGTATTCCACATATGTATATGTTTCTTACATAGCGTATCCTCTGACATGATGTGTAATGGATACTTTGGAGTAATCTGCCTCATTAGAAGACATTTTTGCAGGCCAGAATTGGTTTTACTGCCAGACAGAACCTGGGTTAGATTTCTTTTCTTTTCTCCCACCAGCTGCATGAGAAGTTTGAACATCTCAAGCGAATACATCAGGAAGAAAAGAGGAAAGTGGAGGAGAAAAGAAGAGAGCTTGAGGAAGAGATGAATGCCTTCAACAGGCGGAAGGTGGCAGTTGAAACGCTACAGTGTCATAACCTGCAAGCCACTTCACAGCAGCCACTGAAGAAAGACAAAGACAAGAAAAAGTAAGCCACTTTATGTACCTCTTCCAAGATATTCACAGCTGATCATACATAAAAATGTTGCAACAGTTATTTGCGACAGTTTTACAAATAATTTGCAGTAATATTGTTGCAACAAATTATTTGCCACAATAAATAACAGTCAGTTATTTAAACAAAGCAAAACCTAAGATTGAATTACAGATTTAGAACTCTTTCAAATCCTAGTAGGATAAGCCAAAGGAATACCTTTTAAAGAAATTAGAAAGAGACAGAGTGATTCTTAGATCTGAGAAGATGATTTAACTGATGCTTGATTAACCTGATTCCTGCAAGGAATTCTGGGTCTGCTAGCCCCCATAGAAGTCAATGAAGGTTTTTTTCCTTTGTTGTTGGGTTCTGCGATCTTTGCTATTTAAGCAGTACCAGAAGCACATGATCTGGACATCAGAAGAACAAAAACAGGTGTTGCAGCCAAGATGGCGCAGTGGTTAGAGTGCAGTACTGCAGGTTACTTTTGCTGACTGCCAGCTGCCAGCAGTTGGGCAGTTTGAATCTCAGCAGGCTCAAGGTTGACTCAGCCTTCCAAACTTCCAAGGTCAGAAAAATTAGGACCCAGATTGTTGGGGGAAATATGCTGACTCTGTGAACCGCTTAGAGAAGGCTGTAAAGCACTGTGAAGTGGTATATAAAGTAAGTCTAAGTGTTATTGCTATTGCTACAAAGTGAAGAGCAGAAAACAATGAATTGAGAAATAGAAGCACTTAGCGTATGCATGAGTACTTAACTTTAGAGTATGATTTATGTTCCATAAATGTACACTTATCCTTCTCAGTGTTGGTATATTAATCATGTGCTCTGTATTTGGAACAAAAAATGTGATCCTTGGACCATCTAAACTTATTTGCTGATAGCAGCTATTCAGGTTTTCATGCAGAGACCTTTCCTGATAATGTTGCTCAAGATCCTTTCAGTTAAACATGCTGGATATCTGCTCTGTGAAAAATAAAAGCCAGTAAACATGAAAATTGTTAAGTTGGATCCAATATCAGACATATTCTTTAAACGTCTGCTGCTTTTGATACAGAATTATCCTCTGTTAGTTGCAGGATTTGAATGACCTATAGCAAAACCTTCTCCATATTCAGATTCTGTGGATGTCTCAATAATGTTGAAGCTGTATTATCCTCTTGTAAAGCAATCCCAACCAGTGGCCATCCCATATTTTCTACTGCCTACATTCTACAAGATACGTTTTCAATATTTGCATTAATTCATATTGCTTGTGCTGAATCAAAAACTAAAAGCAAAATGTGTTTTTCCAGAGTTTGCTCTTTGATGTAACTTCAGCTAAAAATGAAAGAGATTTAGAATATTTAAAGATACTTGTGCTATTTCTAGTAGATCAGGTTTTGAATTAAGAGATCTACATTTTACTTTTAATAAGCATTCAAAGATGAAGGAAAAGCGGAATATACACCAAAGTTTAGCTATTGTATCTCAAGTTAGCACTTTAATATACAATGGCATCATAGTTTGTGTTTTCTTACCCAGGATTATTTTAAGAAAATACATTTCCCACCTTCCAAATTAAAGAATCAAGAATATTTCCTATTTAGGCTGTCTGTAAACTTCTGCAACACACACACACACACACACACACACACACACACACACACACACACACACACACAGTCACTCTTGCTACCACAAATCTTAAAAGTGGAAAAATACTAGGGATTGAACATCAGGCCTCATATATGTCAATCTAATGTTTAATCAAGGTAAATTGGTTGAGTTTAACTGCAATTACTTGCTTGCAGATTTTTGAGACAGGTGTAATTTGGTTGGGCATTTATGGCATCTCCCAAAGACTCACATCATCCTTATTTTTTTCCATGCTATTATGTTCTTATTATATTGAGTTCTATAGTTTAATTCATGTTCTTTTATGTTTTTGTTTCAGTTAATCTCACACATAGATTACAATGCCATGAGTGGACTCTGTATATTCATATGTATGTTAATTGTTGTTTTCCCACCTTGTGAATCCTTCTGCCATCCCACTGTGTAAAGGAAGCAGCATGAGAAACTCATCACCTGCCTTTTTTCAAGAATGGATGGTGACCATGCAGAAAATTAGCATGTTTAAGAAAAAGAATGATTTGATTTGCCTTTGCAGATTCGAGGTGGAAATTCTTCACACGTTTAGCTCTGAAATGTGGGGAAGGTAATTGCAGTGCAACATATTTGTTTTAAACTCTTTGAATAACCAACCCTCTGGGTATCAAATGGCCCTAAATATGTCTAGTCAATTTGTAAGATGCAGTATAGGCAGAGAGGTAGCAGTGTAAAAGTTACCATTGGTCACCTGTTTTGTTAATTTTTCCAATTTATTTTGAGGGAGAGATAATCAGAATGTTACTTCTGATCAAAAAAGTTTTGAGGCAATGTTCTTAACTTTATATTGAAATAAGAAATATAATATGAGAAAGCTTAGCATTTCTGTTGGTGACTGAAATATTGTTCAATAAAAGTTTTAAGAGGGCATAAATTTGCTGTAGGATCTAGCAAGAGACATAATTCCTTTAATTAATTCTATCCTCAAATTTATTTAAATTGAAAATGGCTCCATATTAGTGGTAGAGCATACAATCATACTTTACTTTTTTAAAAAAAATAAAATATTCAGCATTAATCTCTACCTTTTAAAGTTGGTTTTTTTCCCTTAAGTACACCTGTGTTTTTAGCCAAGGTGCTTTTGGCTATTTTAAAATTGTGCATAATTATTGCAATTCTCAAGTACTGCAAATACTATAATTTGCTGTATATGATAGAGGTAAGGCAAAAAAATGGAGAAAGCATTGATATCAGAGCTTCTGAAAAAAATAGGTCAATTAAGATTAGGCCAATTAAAACATTTTAGCGGTTTTCAAAGTTTTTCAAATCATATTTTGTGCTGATTTAAATTGTTACTTATATACAGTTTACTTTTTAAAATGTGATTTGTCTCTTTTGTTATGTGCTTTGGGGAAATGTACAACTGAAATGTGAGCCTGAAAAAGCTGGCTTAGTACATGACTGTCAGTTTTGGGATCCAGTTGGTCTGTTCGTTATGTATGGAGATCCAAATTTAACACTGTATTCAAATGGACCTTGACAAATGCAAGATTTCCAATTATACAGTGTCTCCTGATGGAAAAATTAATTACAAACATTTCTATTACATAAAAAAAGCTGTCAAAAAATTGAACCAAGCTTAAGTGGAGTTTATTTAAACTTCACCTTACTGCCATTAAAAGATGCAAATTTTCTTTGCTAGAAAATTGATAAGAAAACCAAATGCACAGCAGCTGTTCATGCCATCCATAGAACTGGATGGAAACATGTTTTTTCTCCCTTGCCTTATAGTGTCGACCAGGGCTTTTTTTTGTCATAGAACGCCCAGAACGTTGTTCCAGCACCTTTTTTGGATGGAACCTTGTAGGGTAGGCAAGGCAGGTTGTATGACATGTGTGAGTTCCGGCACCTTGTGTGGGTTCCGGCACTGGTGTCGACTGAGCATATGTTCACAGAACTTTCTGCCTGGGAAGTATTTTAGTTGTCCTTGTCTTTTTAAATTTTTGTCGGTGCTAGAGCATTGCCAGCATTTTTTTAAATTAAAACTAATAGGCATTTTCTTCCCTTTCCAAAAGTAGAATTTAACTATATAGTTATCCTGAGGTTCTTTGTTTTGTACATTTTCTTGCAGAAGCTTCTTGCCTGGATGTTGAAATACTGTTTAGTCTTTTGTCATTTAATCCATGGTTAATGTCTGAATATATTGAAAATCATGTTACAGTATTACTTGATATTTTTAAGAGAGGAAAAAAACCTCGTGAAAAAAAAATGTAAAGGTACTTTTTAACTGCAAGCCTCTTCAAGTTATACTGTTTCAGGCTTGCATTTTAATCTTTTTTTTCTTTTATAAAGGCTGTGCCTTTATTAAAATAAAATATATTTTCTAAAATGCAACTGGATAATTACTGAAGGCAAATTGCAGTGCAGAATAGATCTATTGTATTGTTATGTAGATAGTAGCAGTTCTGGTACATGATTGGTTAAAGGCATAAAACAAAATTTCTTTGGGAGGCAAAATTTTCTTATGAGCCTGAAAATTAATGCATGCTAAGGAGACTGCAGGGCGGTAGAATAGAGTTCTATTTAATATGCAAAATGAAACAGCTTAAGAATTTTTCTAACAAATTGTGAAAGCCAATTAGATCTTTTCTATGCAGAACATTTTTTTTGGGGGGGGGGGTCCAGTTGGTTTTCTGGACCTCAGTTTGATACTGTCTTGTTTTGGAAACTAATTAAGAAGGTGGGAATAATAATAAATATAAAATATGTAGAAGGCATAGCGAAATGGCAATATATGTCTGATGAAGACATTCAGAATGTATTTAACATATTAATTATTATAATATTAGTGTTATGTGAGTGCATATTTTATGTTGTGGTGCCTGTTATTTTCATTGAAATATGGGCCTCAATTTTGCTACCGTCTTTGTTAAACTATTTGTAATAGTCGTCCCCAGTGGAAACTAATATCCTTTTCTTGGTTGAGGTCTGATTTGGTACTTTGTATTTCTTTATGGGACCAAATTGCATTTAGTAGTTCTATTCGTTGTTATTTAATAAGTTGTTAGCTATTATAATGTGACACTAACCTTAAATTAAATCTTAAACTAAGCTTGAAGATTTACCTCTGTTGTGTGAAGTAAGAAAAACAGGAAAACACAACAATCTATTTCCTACATTATTTTCTATAATGTTTGACTAGTGGAGAACTGCATCTTCCATTGATTTTAATTTTCCTATATTTTCCTGTTTTCCAAAATTTGTGTAATTTAAATAATGGTTCAATACACAATGTTTTCAGAAGCAAAAGCTTTCACTTGGACAATCATACAGAATGATATTTTAAACTGTCAAGAGGAGAACCCATCAATTTCTTTTAATGAAGTGTTATGTATTGTTCTTAC